GAGGAAGTCCCTTTTGGGGTGGGCTCCAAAAAGACCAAGGGGAGGAAGCGGGGAGGAAGTGGATAGTGGATGCTTGAAACCCCCCCCCCCTTCCTTTGACACCGAGAGCAGGAAAGTTGCGTGGAGGAAGAGTGAAGGAAGGAAGAGAAAGAGAGAGAGAAAGAGGGAAAGACGGGATGCCACCTGCCCTCAAGGCCCGCGCCCAGGCCGCCAAGTAATGTGCTTCATCTTTATTCCTGTAATGCTGGGAAAGTTGCAAGAACCAAACTGGGGGAAGGAAGAGAGGGGGGGGGGGCTTAGGTAATACTTTTATTGAGAAGCCAGAGAGAAAAGGTGTGTTGTTGTCTTGTATTTCCTTGCCGTCGTGGGAGGCCGGAGGTTGGCCTATAGGGAGGGAAACGAAGGAAATTGGGGGGCCGGGGGGGGGGGTCCAGCCTCCCCATCCCCCTCCATCGCCCGCTTTTCCAAAGCGAGTTTGTCGGGGTCATTGTCTCCGGAAACTCACAACTTGAAAGGGATGCGGGGCTTGGAATCCTCCTTTCCTTTCCTCCTTCCTTCCTTCCCTCGAGATTCTGCCCAACCTCGACGTCGCCTTTGCAACAGGACAGGCCCAAGAAGAAGAAGAAAAGGAGGAGGAAGGAGGAGGAAAGGAAGAAGAAGAGGAGGAGGGGGAAGAAGAGGAGGAGGAGGAAGAAGAAGAGGAGGAGGAAAAAGAGGTGATGGAGGAGAAGAAGAGGCAGAGGAGGAGGAGGAAAGGAAGAAGAAGAGGCAGAGGAGGAGGAAGAGGGAGAGGAAGAAGTGGAGGAGTAGGAAAGGAAGAAGAGGAGGGGGAGGAGGAGAAAGAAGAAGAGGGGGAGGAAAGGAAGAAGAAGAGGAGGAGGAAGAGGAGGAGAAGGAAGAAGAGGGAGAGGAGGAGGAGGAAGAAGAAGAACAGAATGAGAATGAGGAAGAGTCTGGGGTGCCCTGCAAAGCAAAACATCTCCACCCCAATGTTTCCAAAGCCTTGGTTGGGAGAGCCTTTTCTCCTCCTTCTCCCTGAAGGCCCATCTTGTCTCTTTCCACCCTGAACTTGGCATTTGTTCCTTGGTGTGCTCCTGTTCAACTTGGGCAAAGGAGAGGTTTCTTCTCCAAGCCTTGCACTCTGTGCTATTTACACTCCCCACAGAGCTCAAATTGCAGTGTAGATCCAGTTGACTTCAATTGAACTATGTTTATATGCCTCAATGCTGACTATATCATATAGTTCAGATTGCATTGTATGCTCTGTGTAGATCTAGCCTCAGTTTGAACTGCATCATATGCTTCTATAGTGGCCACATAATAAAGTTGGAATTGCATTGTATGCTCAGTGGAAACCCAGCTTGAATCCCATTGAACTGCATTATATGCTTCTACAGTGACTATATAACACAATGCATTACAGGCTTGATGAAGACCCAGCCTCAGTTTGAAAGTGCATTTGATGGGTCTCTGCTGACCATATCACATAGCTCAATTTGCTTTATCTGCTCAGTGTAGATCCAGCTCAAAGCAGTTAGTTGTCTCAGATTTGAGTTCTTTCTCTCCTTTCTAACTTTGGATGGAAGGGGGTAGAGTCAGTATACACAGGCACACCTTTGTGTGTGTATATATAGACAGATAGATAGGTAGATAGACAGGTAGGTAGATAAATGATAGAGATATATATGTGGGTAGATAGGTAGATAGGCAGGTATTTTATTTATCTTGTCAGAAGCTAACCAAAACAGTTGTATTAAATTAAAAAAACAGACAAACAAACTTGCAGACTTGGTATTCTATTAAATGTTCCAGAAGCGACCAGATAGGCAGGTAGATAGATGATAGAGAGAGAGAGAGAGAGAGAGAGAGATGATATAGGTAGGCAGGCAGGCAGGCAGACAGGTAGGTAGAAAGATAGATTATATAGGTAGGTAAGCAGGTAGATATATATATAGATAGACAGACAGAGACAGACAGATAGATAGATAGACAGATAGATGATATAGGTAGGTAGGCAGATAGGTAGATAGATAAATGGATGGATGATATAGATAGATAAGTAGATAGATAGATAGATAGATAGATAGATAGATAGATAGATAGATAGATAGATAGATAGATATAGGCAGACAGATAGGTAGGTAGATAAATAGATGATATAGGTTGGTAGGTAGATAGATAGATTATATTGGTAGGTAAGTAAATAGATCTATATGTAGATAGATAGATAGACAGATAGATAGATGATATAGGAAGGTAGACAGATAGGTAGATATAGATACATGGATGGATGATATAGGTAGGTAGGTAGGTAGATGGATAGATAGATAGATAGATATAGGTAGGCAGGTAGGTAGGTAGATTATATAGATAGGTAAGTAGGTAGATATATATATAGATAGGCAGGCAGACAGAAAGATAGATAGATTATATAGGTAGGTAGGCAGATAGGTAGATAGATAAATGGATGGATGATATAAATAGGTAGATGGATGGATGGATAGATAGATAGATAGATAGATAGATAGATAGATAGATAGATAGATAGATAGATAGATAGATAGATAGATAGACAGACAGAAGGTAGGGATGCTATAGATGATATAGGAAGGTAGGCAGATAGGTAGATAGCTAAATGGATGGATGATATAGATAGGTAAGTAGGTAAGGAAGTAGATAGATGGATGGATGGATGGAAGGAAGGAAGGATGGATGGATGATATAGGTAGGCAGGCAGATAGATAGATAGATAAATGGATGGATGATATAGGTAGTAGGTAGATGGATGGATGGACAGGTAGGTAGGTAGGTAGGCAGATAGATAACTGGATGGATGATATAGGTAGATATGTACAACCCAGGACTGAAGGAGTAGTTTCCTCGGAATCGTGGCAAGGAAACCCCCAGAAAGCCAAAGGCGGAAAACTTTGCCTAACTTGGCCTTCTTCCAATGGACTGCCGAGCTCAGGATCCGAAGAAGGACGCATTCCTTCCCAGTTCGGCCAGTTTGTCCAACCCTGAAAGTTCCTTCTTCGATGGAAGGGGGGCGGGGAATGCTTTCTCCCCCCCCCCCCCCAAAGATGAGTTTCATTAGTTCCTTCTCAGCCAAGGAAAACCATTTCCTAAATAGAGACTCATACACACACACACACACAAAGAACTTTCTTCCCCTCGTGTGTTCCTCGTTCTCCTCCTTTCATCTACGTCACGCGCGTGACGTCAGAGGTGCCCCCCTTCCTCCCAAATAATGTTGGAAAGGGAGGCAGCTCTGAAGTGAGGCCTCTCTGCCTTTCTTTCCCCCCTCTTTTCCGGATAAGGAATGGGGAGAAAGAAAGGCTTCTTCCTCGGCACCTCTCTCATTTCAGAGGCCAGGAAAGTGATCAAGGGAAGAGAAGAGGAAGCGAATCTGACACAAAAAAGAGGGACAACAACAACAATAACAACAACAAGAGGGGGGGCTCAGCTCAGCTGCGGGAAGAAGGTCTTTGTAAATGGCTCTTCCTGGATTTATCATTCCGTTCAAAAATTGCCGAAATCTCGGGGTTCGGGGAAAGGGACACTTCACCTTTCCTTCCCCCCGAACCCCGAAAAGGGACACTTCACCCCCAAATGAATTGTATTGCCTTTTCCTCCAGTAATGGTCTAATAAAGTTACGCCGCACTTTCCCGGAAAATCGGCTTTGAATGACTTCTCTGCAGAGTTATT